TTTTCAGCGGTCCGATTCATATTCAGCTGTGGAAAGCAGTCACATTAAAAATAGAGGCCAAAATTGGAAGCCCAAAAGGTGAAGGGATCAATGGACAGAATCTTTAAGGTACCAATTGTTCCCCATTGTAATAAATTAACCCAAGTCTTGGTCAATTTGAATTCAAGCTGTTTCAAATGAAATGTCAGATATGTTTACAACAACATTTTGATTTTGTGAGCTATGATTTATACAGGATCTGTCAATTTCTCATCCAGTGTATGATTCGCTGATCAAGGAAAGTAGCATTTATACATAATATACAGCTAAACTACCATGTTTTAAGTCTTAAGACAATTGGACAAATGTAGGCTGTATTGGTTATTCAAGGAAGGAAGAAGACTGCCAGAAAATTTGAGGAAAGCCAGCCAGGATCACTCTAATTTACAACCTGCTGCAAAGGTTATGTCATATTACAATATTATTATATCTGTGTTAGGCAAATACAAAACTGAATAATACATAGTTACCACAGCGACTTATGTCTTCTTGTATAGAACTATTTGGGGGATCATGTTCTATGATTTAATTGTTAAGAATAGAGATTATCTTGAATTAGAAATAATAATAAAGAGCACATGAACAAAAACAAAAGTTAAGTATGTGTTTAACATATTAACAAAGAAATAGTTAAATTGAATGTGAGAGATGGATTGGTTTAAAGAGGAAGTATAAATAGCAATACATTAGAGTCAGTCAAGATGTGCTTTGTATGAATTAAATGGAAACTAGGTTATCGAATATCCTAGGAAGAGGAGCCACACATGAACTATCGAAAGAAAAAATTACTATCGAGTGGTGCTGCGAACGACAAGAAATCCAAAGGTTACTGCAATAAAAGCAAAGAACTAGTTGAGGATTGCTGGACAGGACAGAGTTCGAGGTCACAGTTTAAAAGAAAATTGCAGAAAGAACAAAGACAAAAGAAGCTTGTTGATCGTTTAAGAGGAAGGGAAAGAGTACAGTTCACACTTTCGCCATAAGACTGTTAAATTAAAGAGAATAGAACGATTGAAAATTATCAATTACGTTAAAGCTGATAGACAGGGGAGGAGCAATCGTTGGGGGAAATATGAGGACCGATGACTCTAGAGAGAGAAAAAGGGACCAAACTAAGCTGGAGCTTGTGAGTTTTCACGTGCTGACAAGAGGGAGGTAAAAATGTAGCAACAAATCATGAGAAACCCAGTAATAAAACTGACTTTCAGGAAATACGATGTTATATTAGCATACAAAGGGATAAAAAGTGAAGCACCGCTCTGAAGAAGAGAACAGCTATTACTAAAATATTGTATCAAAAAGAAGCTGTAGGCCAGCTCTCTCAACAAAAAGCACTGGAGAGTGTATAACCACTTGGAAAGTCCCGGACTCTCAGCTTGGAGTGACTTGGATGGTGGAAACCTTCAAAAGATCATTACTGCAATGTACAAATAAAAGTCTGCGGTCCACCAGAAGAGTCAGGCCCGGTAGTCAGGATGACCCTTACATGATGCAAAATGAATTCTCTGAACTCTGAATCTGACAGAAACCAAAGATGCCGTCCAACAGGAGGTCGCCACAAACTGGAGGTCAGGGTGCAATAACCAACACACCAAATGAGGGAACCAGAAGTAAATAATAAGAAGACAGCAGAAAAAAAATTGTGAAATACCCAATTCGAAAACCATGAAGGGATTTACGCGTCCTCACATTTGGAGAAGTGTTGGTTGAAAGGCCTGGAAAACCCCCACAATCTATATTTTCCCGTATCCAGAATTTATCGCGTGTGGGAGTTTTGGAAGAATGATGCAGCATGTGCAGGAATGGAAAACAATGAAGAAACTGATGGAAACTCTGTATTCATTTTGCCAGGGTGAGAGTAAAGGGAGACCAGAAGGGAGTGGTTTTTTTTTTCTCCTGTGTTGACAAGTTTGTCCTCACAAATGGCCATGAATTTAAATATAGTGATGGACTAAAGGCAGCTTAATGAGGATGGTCACTGTCCCATTTCTCTTTTTGAATAGTTCTAGACCAGAGATGTCAGGGAGGGGCAAAAATTCGAGGAGTCAACAGGTGGGAAGAGGTCGCTGGCTGTTGAGTTCTGTTGTAATGAGTCAGGGCAAAGAGTGCTGACTGGGCTTTGGTGTAAGGCTGGGCTTGGATGGATGCAGCATGCCCGATGGTCTGTTAGCACACTGTTGATTCCTTCCAAGGAGTGGGGTGGATTTGCATTATTGGCATGCGCTCGGATGGTGGGTGTGAAAAAAAATAGACCGCGTTGTTTGATTGTTCCAGACTGATAACCGCAAGACAGGCTGGTGGGAGAGGGCATTACCTTGAAAGGCCCGGAAGGGACCGCGTTCAGTTGTTACTCGCCCTGCGTGGTTTCTTTGAGAGTTGTGGCAGAAATCTGTTGAGAAAAACAAGAGGGACAGGTTCGAACTATGAGTCTGTTTTTATTTTGGCTCATCTGGCTCTCCTGTCTTTGACGAGCACTTAATGCTTGTTGCAACTGCATACGAGGGGGGTATGCCTACGCTCAACGCAAGGAGGCCAACACCAGAGTGTGATAGTAGGTTTATCGATCCTTTGTGTGTCATTAGTGAGACGCGTTTAATGTCCAGGTAGTGGAAAGAGGACGGTTTGAGTGTGTTAAAGAAATACCTCGTCTTGGCAGATGTGGCCGCAACATCAAAAACCTGAATGAGCGATTTGAAGAAACTCGGTCGAGAGCAGGAAATCCTTACGGCCATTTAAAGAAATGGCAGTTACCAATTCAGAGGGTCACAAATGAACGGAGAGTTTGATGACGTTCTTTGATTAGTCTCTCAAGAAAGAGGAACTGCCCATATGGCCAAGCAGATGGAGTGTACACAGATGAGTTATATCAACACATGAGACTGTGGAATATTTTAATGGTCTCAGGATACTCGATTAGTATTTTGCAGCAGAGAAACAATGTGAATGTTTTACAAGCACAGAGTATGTTAAGTAAACAGGGGGTTTCGTGTTTGAGTAGGTTGGTGTGACATCATGTAACATGGGAGCTTTCAACGTACTTGCTCGTGAAAACGGATTCAAAACGTGAGTTGTGGTTTCTTGGGCGGACTTATAATGTTAAAATGAAGATTTGGCAGTACCATTATAGGACTAAGTGAGGTGAGCAAGTTATTGCAAGTGATTCTGTGTCGATTCGCGAGTTACGTGTGTGTATTCAGTAGTAAAAATCCATGAAGTTACTGCTTCTCTGTTTAGCAGTTAGCTGGTACAAAAGCAGTATTTTGAGCTTTAACAGTCTTTGGTTTTTCATATTATCAGGGAT